TGAGGGATTGACTGTCATTATTACAATGCACCTACAGCTTGTGCAGGGACAATTTTTTTGATATTGCACGAATTCAAAATCGGCTTGCTAGCTCCTAAATCCCTAGCGCTACCACAGGACAAAAACGCACTATGGAGGGAACAAACCCATTAAAAATTATTTATCCCCTTCCATGTTTACCAGGAGTAGAGAATATTGAAATAAACATTTTGGCTATGCTTTTAGTTAATGCTTGGTATTTATATACTAAATTTAAAAAAATAGGCTAAGTAGGTTTGGTGATAATAAACAATAAGTTAACCTGTAAAATATTCGAAAATATAAATGGAAAAAGAAAAGAAAGACGCTGTTGTGAGCTTCTCGTACTAAAGTCTTTAGCAGAATAATAGTCTTTTAATAATTAATCAAGCTAAAAACATCAAATGTGCAATGATAACATCAGATCGCTTATTGAACAATTATAGGATGATAAAATAAACAAACTAGACATCAGATCGCTTTTTAATTAATTGCAGTGGTACGGCTAATTGCGCAAACATCAGATCGCTCATTCTGATATCACAAGAATGGTGCAATTACACAAAAACATCTTTCTTGGAAAGTGTTATCTGTATATTTTTCCTACTTTAAAAAAATAGTTCATTGCCTCTCCATTTTTGTTTTGTTTCGGGTAAAGAACTTAAAATGTACACAATTATATCATTCTTATTTAGAATAAATGTCATTTTAAGTAAACCGTTGTTAATGGTTAAAAAATGTTTAAAACTGAGTATGTTCTTTGCAAAATGTTACTGTTTCAATTGTATTATCATTAGTGTTAGTTTAGATATATTTTATCTGTTGGTCATTTACTGTTACTGAAAAACGAGTAATATTTTTTTATTTGGTTTGACAAATAGTCCTAGGTAGAATGTCGAGAAAAACAACCAAAATTTTCTAGGGCCTGTCTTTAGAACATTTATTATTTCATGTCCTTATTTTCTGAAGCATATCCTAAAAAAGTGAGCAGAGATATAGGTAAGAAAGTTAGATAAGCAACAAATGTTTTAGTGTAGAAGATATCCATCGTGACCAGTGTAGAACATGAACATTATACCGTAGTACTTCACTTGATCAAAAGAAAGCAACCGGCATTATTCTCCATCACTATGTCTGACCAACAGGAGACACACACGTTGTTATACTTTAGTCTGCTTAACAACAGTACTCTGACCAAGAGAAAATATACACGTTACTGTACTTGCTAACAAATGATATACGCAATATTCAACAGTATTCTGACTGACCAAAGGAAGTTACATTTAGTCTGCCTGACCAATAGAACTTATAAGTGAAAGTTAAGAAGAATGCACAAGAATATGTCATCCAAACTTTATCTGCTAGATCCAGTGTTGACAAGGCCGTTCGCCCAATACCAGGGTTCATTATTAAATTGCATGAACAAGAACATTTACGGTGTGAGCTAGATTAAATTGGTGAAGTGTAAATGTTGTTTTAGTTTAAAACGCCGGTCATAGTAATAATAAAGGATCTTATCATGCCATACGTTCAAAAAGTTTGTAATATATGCTACAGTTTGGATGAGATATGGATACACAGTGTTCCAGACTAGTCACTCATACTTGGATGAGACATGACGAGCATTAAAACCATCAATAGAGCTTGACAATTTAAAACCATTCTTCATCTGATGTTTTGTTTGTTTCTTATTAAGCACAAAACTACGCAATGAGCTATCTGCGCTCTGCCCACTGCTGGTATCAAAATCCAAGTATAAATGTTTTAAGCTTGCAGATTAAACACAGAGCCATCGGGGACTCATCTGACGAAGGATTGTTTGTTTGTTTTTTGGAATTTCGCGCAAAGCTACACGAGGGCTATCTGCGCTCTGCCCACTGCTGGTATCAAAATCCAAGTATA